GTTAGGGGTTTAGGGTTTAAGGCTCCGGATAGGGGATTGATTGAGGTCTTACAGTTGAGGGTTCTGGTAGTTCTGGTGTGAGGTCTACAGTTTGGCCCGAGGTCAGAACCGATGACTGCTGGCTGGGTGGTTAAGGTTTAGGGTTTAGGGTTCAGTGGTTTGCATACGAAAGCATGAGCGAATCTAAGAAGCATATGAAATGAGATGACATGAAACAAAGTCGAAGGGAAAGGAAGCCCGGGGGACGAAGAGACCCCCTATCTTCCAGAGTCCAAATATTGGCATCCGGATCATCACTATTAAGGGAACCGGGTTCCTGAAATCTAGGCTACATGTAATCTACGGGCCTCAATGATTACCTATACTAGTTTTGGGGATCCTTATTAGAGTCAAAAGTACACCATACCGCCAAAATCCTATTCTAAGTATTAAGCCTACTAAAGAACCCTATTCATTATAGATCCCTTATAGAACCCTTTCAGGATCCCCCAAACTAGTACAGGTAACATTATCAACCCTAAACCCTAAACCCTAAACCCTAAACCCATACCCCCAAAACCCTGTTCTAACCATTAAGGCCCCTACGTTTGCCGTCGGATCCCTTGGTCCATCACATCTCCCGAGGCTCCTGGAAATCCCGCGGCTGGCGCCTGGGTTTCGCATTCCCTGAGGGGTCCAAGTAGTCCTTATTTAGGGTTTTAGGGTTTAGGGTTTTAGGGTTTAGGGTTTAGGGTCCAAGTACTTCGGGGGATCATGGGACTTAGTAACTAGGGTTATAAATAAGGTAGCTATAATTATAACCCCAACTAGGGTACTTATATCCCTTAATTAAGGAATGTTCCTTAAATTCTAGTGGATCCTTGATTTAAGAAATATTCCTTCATTAAGGGATGTTGGAGTCTCTGGGTAAGATATTGGAGTCTCTGGGTAAGGGTCCAAGTAGTCCATACTTATGGTTTTAGGTATCCAAAAAGGCTCCAAAGTCCTTAAATAGTGGGTACTTGGACCCTTAGGGATTTCGTGGATTTCGCAAGCCGGGGAGAAGTGCGTTGCCCTTTAGCCCACCTGATTATTGAAAGGAAACTACAGGTGGGGAGTTTAGGGTATATAGGGCTTCTATAAGGTATATACACCTTCTATAACACTCCTATAACGGTACATAGGCCCCATAGTAGAACCCAGAAGAATCACCACTATTCTTCCTTAGCTTTCCGGATATATAACAAGTAGAAGTACAAACGAGGACAGTGGACTCCCAAACACTATTCTGTTTTTGAAGGTTTTGATATTGTACGTTCCTTGTGGCCATTTAAGTAGCTTGGCACACAACCCCAGTACCTGCACTAAACACCAGCTCCGCGTGCAGCTATTTTGGATTTCGGTGTAAGGTTGGGCTTCCAGAGATTAAGGCCCACTGGATTCAGCAACGACGCTTGCTACACGTGTTGCCGTATTGAGGTTCCAGTGGCTTACCACACCAAGCCAAAAACTTAACCAACGATCGCTAAGCCGACAGTTGCACGGATGCAAAAGAGAAACAGAGCCGGGCCGTCTCAGGGTTCCGAAGGCTTTGGAACTGGAAGATTTCCGGGTTCAGGGCTTCCTGAGATCCGAAAGAACTGAGAGTTCAGAAAACTCAGTTACACTCCATGCCCGAGACACAGAAGCCTTGAAAACCCCATCTCCGTAACATTGTCAACCCAAAACCCCTAGAGCCCAACCGCAAGGTGTCAGTTCGAGTTCACGGTGAACGTGATCATGGGAGCCAAACCTGCACCTCGCCGGAAGGCCTAAACCCTAAACCCTAAACCCTAAACCCTAAACCCTAGCCAAACC